TTCGCGCTATCTTATGATCACGGTCTATGCCCTGAATATCCCGCCGCGTAATTACTGGCAGCGCGAGCCAGTTACTTATAGTAACTCATAGTAACTGGCTCGCGCTGCCAGTAATTACGCCGCGGGATATTCAGGGCACAGACTGTGATCATAAGACATACCGCAAATAGAAAATAGAATTTAGAAAATAGACATTCCATGTGAACGAAGCCTAGAACAAGACTTACAATAGTTTTGTATGACTAATTAGCAAGGGTTTTATCTGCACCTTCATTCCTTGCATCAGTGTGTGTGTGTGAGAGAGAGAGAGAGAGAGAGAGAGATTACAAACAAAATTAATAATATCAGTTTATTTGCTTACACAATATTTTTCTTAAACCAACTAATAGTATTAAGTTGTGTTGAAATATGTGTTCCTGTTTAAAATTTATTGTAGTAAAAACAGACAGCATGTGTGGTATTTTGAAAAATAAAATACTCCTGATGAATGTTTGCTGCTATGGTTGGCAACAGTACGTAAGGAACTTTTTGTCATTATTCAAATGACACTCAAGTGTGTTATTACTTTTTATTTTTTTAAGTTCTTTGATGTTACCTCAATCTGCTGTCCCTTTCCAGCTCCATATTGTGTCTTTTAGCACTGGCTTTTACATGATAACACCCAACTAACAGGGCACAGAGACACAGATCCTCCAGCTGTTGCAATGCTTGTTTTTCTTTATGACCGTTAGATGGCGGTATATGGCAAGATAAGGCACAGGTAAATGAGTAGTTTAATTGGGTGATTTTTGTATTTAAATGCATCATAAATAGCATATATCACTTATGTTCTACCAGTCACACCAGTTCACGTAATTTTGTAATGTAGAACAAATGATAACAAGAAAAAGTCAGGTATTCTAAAACGTTTTCCATGCTAACTTTGCGCCACCTATCAAATACTGTGTCCACTCAACATGTGTTCTTGAAGTGAAGGAGGTAAGAAATATTAAAATGATAGCTCTTTTTCAAGAAATCTATATATTTTAAGCTGTTGCAGTTGATAATTTGTCACTCATGACGTATTCTGCCCCCATTGAAGTAAGAAAAGATCCGCGTGTAATTAAAAATGAATTAAAAATTAATTTGTTGTTGATGGACATTTGTATATTTACTGTACTTATATATGGGGCCGATTTGTATGTTGCATTGTTGGCCGATGCCATAGTACTACACCTGTACATAGCGGTGTCTCTGAATTGCGCAATATAGCGCATTCCCCCATCGCACTTTGAAGCATATAATTAACAGATAAAGTCATTTTGTATCAGTTCACGAATTGGGCACCAGAGTTTCTATCCAGTATTGGTGTAACTTATGGTGTTATGAGGTATTGATATCAGAAAAAAATTAAAATGTGCCAGATATAAACACAGATTACATCTTCTGAAAGGTCTTTTTATCCAGAATTTTATACTTTTGTAATTTTGATATTACCTCTAAAATTAAAGGTAATATCATAGTTTTTTATTTTTGTTAGATTCTTTATTTTATTAGTTTATTATTTTAAAAGCAAAAACTTCCGTTCCACATGCCAACATGTGACATGTATTTTTATTGTTATTGTTAAATAGATTATTATTGTTGATATTTCAGGATAATGAAACCCTCTTTCACCTTTTTAATATCTGGCCTTTTTCTGGCTTACGTTGGACATTCCATCTGGACAATTTATGGGATCTTTTTTCCTACACCATGCCCACCAAAAAGTAACTGCATCAAGCCATACCTTGCTCAAAAGCCACAGTTAGAGGTAATGTAATATTTATATGAATTTCAGGTTGAACACTCACTGAGAAATTTTTTATGGTTAGCGCTTTTTATAGGTCAAATGTGAGTTATGTTTTTTTTTAATTATTATTTTTTTTTACATTTGTTAATAACTGCTGTTTCATGCCCAATTTGACGAGTGGTTGAAAGCTCCTCGTGTCACTTAAACACATCTGCTAAAGAATCATGATACATGTACATGTATATTTGTGGTAGAAATAAATGCCAAAGATGAATTTTATAATGCTTCAAAAGGGTAAGGTTACACAGACTATCAAAATAATGATCACTACTTCTCTTCTTTATAAATTTAAGTGTGTTCTCATCAGTAATGGAGGAAAGCTACAGGAAAAAGAGAAAGTATTAAAAAATTGCTAGTTATGGACATCAGTATTAATATCTTGAAATTAGTTATAAATTTGTCATAATACATGTATTTGATACAATTATCAGTTTCCCACCTTTTTTAGTTAAGGATTTATACATCATTGAAAGAAACTCTTACCTCGGAGAAGAATGCCAAGTTGTTATGGAAGTTGGATGACTTTGATCCAAGTGAGAATATTGAAAAGTTAGTATTATCATGTATGTTTACAGTAATAAAGATGGTAATTCATAAATAAAGTTTTAAAGATATGTTAAATGTATTAATTTTAAAGTTGTTTTTATACTTATCTGCTAAATACATAATTATATATCATGTGCTCCCCATTGGCAAGTACTAGTTCTAGGTAATTCAGTGAGTAGTCTTTCATCTAATTGCAGTACAGCAGCACAATGATCATAAAATGTTACATTTAAAAAAACTTCCAATGTGACTTTTGCTGTAAAAATTGCTGTAAAAAGTAGACAGAAATGCCAAATCATTTCGTGTGTGTGTGTTATATGTTTGCCTACCTGTTTGCACAAATCTCATTAAAGTTGATGGCGTAACTTCATTATTGCATGATATTGGCTCAGAAGCCAGTAAATTTGGCCCAAGTTGCTAAAAATCTCTTTAATATTAGACCTTATTCTTCAGAACTTTCAATGTCACTCTCCCTGCGAAGACCAGGAATAATGGCACACTATACGTCCATGCCCTAGTGTGCCGCAGGGGTCAGTCCCCCTTTGGACCCTGGACAGTGCTGGCGTCCAGCAGGTTGACCACTTATGCTGTGCCAAAGGCAGAAACTTTTAATCTAATGGGCGGTGCAGAAGAGGTAGTAATCTTTCAATTATAATTGATGGTATTACATTAGAATTGCTTAATATTGGTTTGGCCACATGGTCTGATATGTGAAAGTGTTAGTCTTTCGTGTGCCTTCATTTTGTCCGTTTTGTGCATTATTGACATATCTTAAGGTTACAAAGCACAAATAAATAATATGGAAATGCTTTTATTACAATATTTTCAAAATATTTTCTTTGAAAAACAACATTCAAATGAAGGGAAAAATTGAATGTGAAAGATTGTTGAAGCTAAAGGTGGCAGACATAAAGGAAGTGTTTTTTTTTCTCTCCAAGACTAGAATGGAAAAAATTTAGATAAATATGACTGTGCAACATTTATGTTTGAAGATTTTGAAGTTTAGATGTGACTGATATTTATTGTTTACAGAAATTTCTCTAAAATCATATTTATTGTAATTGTTATATCTATCTGTATCTGACTCAGGCACTGCCTAATACAAGGATAGTTGGCAAAACTCAGACCCACTGGAGGAAAAAACTAACAGTTAATGTCATGAATGATGACATAGCATTTGATAGGATGGGCATCCCAGGAGAGATTTACAAAATACTCAGGTAGGACATGTTTGAATGTACACACACTTGCACCCGCATGCACGCACGCATGCACGGATGTGTAGGTCTTATTTTGCTTGCATGGACATGAATGCACATGCATGATCAGTCAGAATCACACTATTTGGACACATTTTGAATACACAAGGTTCTAGGTATTTGTCTTACATAGAACTGGTTTGTTAAATTCGATACTATGGACTAGTGATTTATAATATAAATATAATATATTTATTTATATACAGTTTTTTTAAATTAGTTATAACACACAGCAGTATTTCCATTTTCCTATAAATTCTATTTTAATATATTTTTTTCACCTCTTTTTGTACATTAAAAAAGTAAGGGAAAAATACATTAAAAAAGTAAGGGAAATGAAAATGAATTAACACCTTGTTAACTCTCTTGAACTTAATTTGAGAAGGGTACTTGGGGTAGAGGATTTGATGTCGTTTATTCAAACCTTTTCTTGTTTTTCAGGGTTTCCCCAAATGGTGACTATCTTCCTCTTTTATACATTGACCAATTGGGATTTAGGATCAAAGATATTTTGGTAATATAAATGTGAAAATTAAGAAAAGAATTTGCTGTAATGAGTATTTTTAGCTAGCTTTTCTTTAAAAAGAAATGTTGAATATTTCCTATCTAAAACTTGATTTTGTTAATGAGATATCACAGTTTGCATAGGTAAGATAAATTTTTCAAACAAGGACAATTATTGCCCTGACATAACTTGGTTTTTCCATCACAATTGAATTTTGATAATGATAATAAGATTTCCTTTTTAGAAAAGGCCTTGGCCTAGAAATACAGATGTTTTAATGAAGATTCATTTAATAATACATACATTACTCTTGTGTACATTTAGAAGTCTGTTTTAATATTTTAAGTACTAGTGGAATAAGTGCATAGGTTTGACAGAAGCTTAGATAATTTGTTTTAAATAATAAAGATACTGTAAAAATTGAATCGCTTTGTAGCATATTTATGACAAAAATGTATGACATTTTTCTCCAGGTGGTGAATGCAAGTTCCAAGGAGATGCCTCTCACCATCAACTACTTTCCTATCTCAGTTGGAAAACTCAGAATGTGGCTCCACCTGGAGGAATCAATGAATAGTCTGCATGCTTTAGGTATAGAACATGAATATAATTTTTTTTTTTTTTTTTGGAGGGGGGGGGGGCTGAAACTGCACATTGTAAAGAGAATTTTCTAAATTAAGGAACTAAGTTTGGCTATATATTCCGATTGTACCGTTGCTCTCAGTTTTGAAAAGAAATGAAATTGAGTAAAATATCACAGACAAAAACACATGGTTAAGCCACTAAAATCATCCATGTCTTTAATATTCAAATTTTGGTGGGAGTTTTGTAAACGAGGTATTTTTTACTTCTATATTTTTCATTCAATTGATATTTAAAAAAAAATAATCTGCAAATAATAATGACAAAAGCTGTAACAAATGTTCTTAATAAAATGATTTTGCCCATGGATTTTAATCATAACAAGAAAGGTTCATCAACCAAAGTGTTCACCATGGGTAAAATAAATTAGTAACTTGCCATATTAAAGGGTCAATAATTGGGGTCAATAATTGATGTTGTTTAATCCCTTTTATAGGATTTTCAGAGAAGGATACAGATGAAGTAAAGGGTATATTTGCAGACACTAACTTCTATTTTTTAGCACTCACCTTTATTGTGGCAGCATTCCATGTGAGTAGATCCTCCTTTTTTTTTTGAGAAAAAAATAAAAGATTAAAAATAAAAGAGAAATGTTTGATAAAATATGTTTATTGCAACTCGTATTAGTTGGATTATTCAAGGTGAAGTTTATTTTTTTAAAATCAGACTCTCAGTTGACAAATTTCAACCACCTCACCTTTTTTGGTATTTGTTATTCTTTCACAATTTGTCATTTTTAGCTACTCCCAAGAAACCTTTATAGGATTAATCAACTTTGTTTGGATTTCTGGGTGTACTTACCCTAGTTGATATGACCTTCATTCCCCTTCCAGTTACTGTTTGATTTTCTTGCCTTCAAAAATGACATCAGTTACTGGAGAAACAGGGACACAATGGTAGGGCTGTCGGGGCGTGCAGGTAAGCACTTTTTATGAAGAGGTTTACAAAATAATTTTTTAGTGTTAATATGGCCCGTTTCTTAACTTAACAAAATACCATATTTGGGTAATTCTTGATTGTAGACTGGAGGCTGGTTTTAACTTTAACAGAAAAGTTTTTAGCCTACTGCAATTCCAGGTAATAATAACATACATTTTAGTTTAACTTGAAAGTTTCTTTCACCTTTTCTCTCGTTGATTTTTAGTCCTGTGGCGAAGTATAAGCACATTCATCATTTTTCTGTATTTAATGGATGAAGAAACAAGTTTACTGGTTTTAATTCCTGCAGGCATTGGTACAATAATAGAGGTACAAAAAAAAAAAAAAAAAACACTCACTGAATTATTTATCTTCTAAATAAAATTATTAGATAATGTTAGAATGTATATTAAATGCATTGTTAAGATATGAATTTAAAACTTTTTAAAGTTTGTTTGCAAAAGACATCTTTAAATTCTGATTTCCAGTATAAGGCAATATGACTAAAGAAAAAAAAAATGCTTGAATGATGACTTTTCTCTTTTTCATTATTTAAAAGTAAAAAATGACATTTTTACCAATTACAAGATATTTTATTATATCCAAGATATTCATGTTTGTCTATTCAGCTGTTTGTTCAATCACTCAAGAAAATGTTATTTACATATTTGTTTATTTATTGTAGATGTGGAAAGTTACTAAGGCATTTAAAGTACAGATTTTATGGAACGGGTGGAGACCAACTTTCCAGGTGAGTTGGACAAGCATAAGGGTCACAGTATAAACTGTGATTTCAAAGTTTCTAGATTTGAGCCATGTTCAGATTGAGGATCGAGATGGAGACTGGTGATTTTCATGTGTAATGGTAAAACTTGGACACTAAACACCTAACTACAGGTTTTTGATGTAAATTTCTCATTGGTTTTGGAAGGTACTACACCACTGTAATAAAGGCAAAATTGCTGAAATTTCATGGATTTCTTTCACTTTTTGCTGTAAGAAAAGTCTTACTTGCACAGCGTGCCTTTCATTCACTTACAATACTTTTTATATCTAAGTATCCAGGGGAGGGATATGTTTGGAGTTGAATATATTTATCATGATAGATTATCCACATCCAGTATATATAGTATTGTATAAACTCCACTGCTTTCATATGTTACAGCTTGGAGCCACCTCAGAAAAAGAAAAAGAAACAGCAGCTTTTGATTCTGAGGTATAGTATGCATGGTTACATGTGAATTTTGGTGCCATACAGATATACATATACTGCATATCTATTTTTGTTTGAAATCCAACTACATTTTCTAGATAGTATGTTCTAAAACATGATTTTCAGATGTAGCTTTTTATATTAAAGGTATTAAAGGACCTTTTGCCTGGATATTGCATTTGCATATGTAATTATATTTAATTAAACCAAGTGAAAAACTTTTTGACCTGTAAACTGTTGTTGCCAGTTTACTATTTTTTCTTATGATTCACATTTTCAACACAAATAAGGGCTATCATGCTGTGATCCTAGATTCAAAATTCCAGTAATGTATTTCTCATTGCCCTTTTTATATGCTCACATCTTTGACATTGTCCAATATTTATACTTAATTTCTTGTTATTAACCATTATCCAATCCATCCGTGATTGTGCAGACCAGCTCATTTCTAGGGCAGTAATCTCTCATCCCCCTCTTCTGTCCTCTTCCCAAACCTTTGTTTATCAAAGTAATTAAGTATTGTTTTATTTCCAGGCCATGAAATATTTATCTTATCTCTTATACCCATTGTGTATTGGTGGGGCAGGGTACTCCCTGATATATGTTCCACACAAAAGGTGAGGATTCATATAGAAGATAATTACTCAATAGATTCTAACAAACATCCCCCAAAATTAAAAATGTGTTGCTTGTAATTCTTTAAATGGTTATTCAGAAGTTTGAAAAGTTAGTAAAAGGGTTCACTATGTTTCCATGCTTTCTAGTTTACTGAATTAAATTATTTTTTAATCATTAAATTGTCCACGTAATTGCTTTTTTAATTGTGAATGGTTTTTTTAGTGTCATAAGAATTAGTCTTGCAATTTAGAAGCAATATGAGACTTATCTGTGCATTTTTTAGAAATTCAAACAAGATGAGCAGCGAATAATGTATAGAAAATACAGATCACACTTAGATTCTTTAAAATGAATCTGGCTTTTGGTCTTTTTGTTTGAAACAGTGTAAGGTGAAGGTGATGTTGGGTATAAATGTTAAAGTATGTAAAACAAGCTAGAAATACATGTTAGTGAAATATTTATTATTGATAACTTGCCTCTGTGTGCCATTGGCAACTTGAGACTTATTATAATTTTATTCGTTCAATTTCAGTTGGTACTCATGGTGCATCCAAAGTTTGGTTAATGGTAAGTGTTCAAGATGAAGAGATGTGGATAAAATTTCTTGGATTTACCCTTTTATGGGGCTGTGTCTGAATTTTGTGTTGTATTTTTTAAAGTGCTGTTTAACTTTATGCATTAAATTTGAATATCAGCGGCTGCAAACAATTGAATTATTGCCTCTTTAATTGTGTGCATTTTTGGCATTGTGGAACATAATTAATTGAAGTTTTTTTTTTGTCTTATAGGTGTATATGCCTTTGGGTTTTTATTCATGCTGCCTCAACTTTTTGTAAACTATAAGGTAAGACTAAAATGAAGAGAAAAGTTCTGAGTGCTGCACAGTATATTAGGTAAAATGTTTCTCAACGGATATGTATTTGAATTTGTATTAAAAATGTACGTACGCAAATTATTGGTTTTGACAGCAAATGTTGGTATCTGTGCTAACAACCATTTTCAGATAAAATCTGTTAAAAGAGTTAATTTGTTTGCAAATAGAAGGAAAAAAGTTATTTTATTTAACTGTATGTTTTCATGATTGTGTTTTACAGTTAAAATCTGTAGCCCATTTACCCTGGCGTGCTTTTATGTATAAGGTAAGGACACAAGATTTATGTTAAATTTTGGTTTAAATGTTTATAAACTTTTTGGTCTTGATCCAAATATTCTCCAGAATATTTTGCTTGTAATTCCTTGGAAGACATTTTGAAATGATCAAACAGCAATTTGGACTCTTGTCAAAAGGGACCTTTTTAATTTGTTATTAGTAATGATGACAAAGGATGAATCATGGAGAAATTAAAATAAATCTTTGGGAATTACTGAGGGATTTGAAGTTTGTGGGTATTTATGGACTTGTGAAATGTGCAAAGAATAATAAAATAACACATATTTTGACCCTTGGTTAGAGAAAATTTATCATGGAATTTTCAAATATCCAAATGTGTGCAAGAATGTTTGTGTGGAATTGTATATAAAATAAAACCAACAAAGAAAATGAAACTTTAAACCTGAGCTCAGAGGCTGATAAATATCACAGTAAATATGTTATATTTATGTTGTTGTTTAAACACATTTTATAAAATGCTACATATTTTAACCTGTATTTTTTTGTAGGCTTTTAATACATTCATAGATGACATATTTGCCTTCATCATTACCATGCCTACTGCACACAGACTAGCCTGTTTTAGAGATGACCTGGTCTTCGTTGTTTATTTATACCAAAGATGGTGAGTTAAAAAGAAAGGCAATGCTTTTGCCTATTTATTTATCATCTCTTAAATCAGTTTGCTTCTTTCGGCTTATTATGAGAACTATTATTAGAGTGGGTAGTGAAATAAATCTAGTTTTCTTAATTCAGTTGTTTTGCAATTAATAAATTATTTAGTTACATATTTCCATAAAAATTGTTTGTATCAGTAGCTCAGTCATAGATTTGGGCCATTGACACAAATACCTTCAGTCTGAAAATTGGTATAAACTTTTAGTCCACAATTTGGTCTATATTTCAGTTCAAGATAAATTGGTCTAAACCTTAAGTCCACAGTTTGGTCTATATTTCAGTTTAAGATAAATTGGTCTAAACCTTAAGTCCACAATTTGGTCTATATTTTACTTAACTGAACTGTATGTATTAGTTTAAAATATTAGCCATGTCTTTTGTTATAAAAGCATGTGCAGTATTTCATTCAGTTGGACTACTACTGAGTTATCCTGGACCAAAGGGGCTAAAATTTTGTCATGAAATTTAGACCAGTTTCCTTCGTAAAACAGGCCCCTGGCCCCAGACAGTGACAGCTAAATGAAGTGCTCAGTGGTTTTATTGTGTGGGAAATTGGGTGTCAGTTATCCATTTAACTTTGCCTGAAAAAAAAATGTCTAGAAAATGTGTTTTTCATGTCCTTAAATTTTGAATTTTCCTATTTAAGGCTGTATCCTGTAGACAAGACCAGGGTGAATGAATACGGACAGTCTTTTGAGGAAGATGAGAAAAAATCTAAATAGTTGTAGAAAAATGAAGAGCAATAATTCTTGTGAATGCAGATTGCCTTAAAGTTGTGTTCACAGCAATATAATATATAGAAGAGTTACAGCTAGTTGATAAAGACACATGATGAACCATTAACATTTATAAAGCAAATAAAAATCTCCTTGAATTCATCAGTTCTCTCAATCATCAAGGTGTACCATATCCAAAAGACATGACAAAATTATCAGAATGGTTTACTCTTCTATTTTTTTTTGAGTCACTAAGGTCATGAAAATTAACACAAACAAATTTCTTTTGCTGACAGTTTTTGTTAAGTAAAGATCTTGTGCACTTTGTTGTACACGTATGCCTTTAAGTAATTTTTACACAGGAAAATTTGATCTTTAAGCTCTGTCATCAGTCTCTCCTATTCTGTACTCTCTCTACCCTTAGATGTCTTTGCATTCTTATATCAAACCCGTTTTACCCCTTTACTATATTAATAACTACTTAAAAAGTTCAAACTTTCCATGGGATAAACTGCTGTTGCATTGTCGGTGAGGGATACTTTATCAATTTGCCTGTTATCCAGTTATCCAGAGGGCCATGTCACAAAAAGTATGTTTTGGGGCTTTGCTTAGGTTGCTAAAATGGTATCGCTAACTACAGAAGTCGATTGTTTTTTAGTCTAATCATCTTTTTTTTATGACTGGCTGGCATTTAATATGTCATTATTGCCACACCTAAGTGGGTCCATGAGAATAATATGTATTATTCAGAATTTCACGGTTTGGGATTATTTCAGGAAAACCAAGTCATTGACTTAATTGGTATCAGTATTTATTGTCATTGCTGTGCTTCTAGGTGATATAATAAACAGAGGTACAGTAATTTTTGTTTTGTTATATCTGTATATTATTATTAATTTTACTAGCCTAGTTGTCAGTATGACTGAAATCTTGGGCCTATCTAAATGATAAGCTCTTATCATAATGCTGAAATGATTATGAAATTGACAATTTTTTATGTCCTTTCTGAAACTAAACCCCCTTTAATTATACTTGATCAGTTTATAACTACACCAGTATATAAACGGGAACAAAATGGTAAAAGAAATTAAATTTGAGAAACTTGCAATAATAACTAATATTAGGCCTACAGGTATAAACATGTATATGCTGTCACATAAATTATGGCCAGACAAAATTGATTGGTTGATTAACAAGTGTGACCAACATTATTTTTATGGAAATCAAAAAAATTGTTTTTTCAATGAAATCTTTTTTTTTCAAATGATGAAATGCATTAGGTAGTGATTTTAATAAGTTGACGAAATTCACAATTTGCCCTGGGAAAAACCTTTATGCTGTTGTATTTATGCTCTTAAATTGCACACACTGTGGATTTGACATTTACTCCCAAAATTTTTTTTCTAAGCTATTTTCAAACATATTTTTGAAACCCAAAAAATTGTCCTGTTTACAGAGAGTCGCCACCTGTTAAAATACTCAACAATTTCATCTGGCCTAACATGACTTCATGAAGAAAGAATTCAAAAGCACATTCAAAATATTATTTTTATGTGACAGGGGCAAACAGGTAAGAAGTTAATGTTGGAATGGCAGCAGAATTTATCCTAGTGTGTCTGTCACACAGTGCTGAATATACAAATCTACACCAAGCCTCCTTTTTTGGCCTCACATAATATAGGGAACTAATATGTCTGTTGGGGCGAAGTGTTCAACATTTCATGTGTGGATACAAAATTTTTGCAAAAGAGTAAAAACTAAATCTTGTCTTTAACTTTCACTATCCTCATGGTAAACTGATGAAATGAAATTGTCCAACCTTGGGAAGTGAGCAAGATCATTATTAAACTTGCATTAACTTTTTTACCTCAAATCTCTTTGTATAAAATGAATGTTATGAATTCTTAAATATACATCTAGCTGAGTTGCAAACATACAAAATTATGTTTTGAAACCGATTCCATAAGATAAAAGATTTTTATAATATGACATGTCAAAACGCACAGAATTCTAGGTCATGTTTCTTGAATGTCATCTCTACAAAGAGCAGTTAAATTACAACATACTGGATGGATCATTAAGAACAGTATATTGTTTCTTTATGGAAAAATCAATATTCATCGTCTTAATTGTTAAAGGGATAACAACTCTTCGTATGAATTCCATATTTCACAATATATACATATAAACAACTCAAAGAAATATGATAAATTCTATTTTACCATCAAAACTGTGGTTAACGCAATTATTTTGTAATTCTGTGCTTGTCATCAAACCATGTGACCATCACTGATGGCTATCTATCCTCTGTAATACTATCTTAAGAAGGAAAAAATAGGAACTTTGAATTCTGGAATGGATTCCTTAACCATTGGTTAGTAAGGGAAAATTGTTGTTTCCCGCTGGAAAGTCCTTTTTTGTTATCCCTTTAAAACACAAGCGGCAGTAAATTTTTTGGAATGAAAGTTTTCTGAGGGACCCATTAATTTTCATTGCGCGGTCGTTTTGGACCGATTTCATGAGGGGAAGATCCCTCTAAATTTCCAGGGCGTTTCAAACCACTTTTTTTGCTGAATGGCTTTTGTCCTACTGATTGAGGAAACAGTCGAATATTGTCCAGTTGAATCTCCCTATTAGTCTCCCTTCCAATGTCAACTTTTACTTGACCAAATGAGTCACCTTTCACCTGACCATACACATACACCTGTTCAGGTCCAGATTCCATCTCTCCATCATCTTCAACATTCTCGGCTGACTCCGACGGCCCACTGTCTTCAATGTTCTGGTCGGCCTCTGACTGCCCACTATCTCCAATGGAAGCAGAGACAATAGCCACATATTCGTGACCTTCAAGTTCTCTGTTAACTGGAACCAATGCCTTGGCAACATTTCCTGGAACTTGGGTTCCTAGAGCTGGGAGGGTTTTTAATCTGCCCTGCTGCTGGTGATGCTCAGCACTGTCATGAAGTTCCCGGACATCAAGACTGTCCAACTCCTTATGAATGTCTTCTTCTTTACATTTCAAGATGGGAACCACATACAGAATGGAACTGTTCAGATGGATATCAGGTAAAAGTCTATTGATGACATCTGCTACTGTGAAGTAAACCTTATCATCTGTCCTTGCCTCTCTGATATAAATTATTGTAGATGAGGAAGAAGTGGCTGTGTTCATTTGGACAAAACAGCTTTGGGATTTCAGACTTCCTTCTAATTCCTCTGCTTTGTATTTGAGGCATGTCTGTATTTCACCCTTTCCAATGACCTTCACCTTGCCAAGAATGATAGGAATGTTGTGAATGGACTTCTCATCATTATCCTGGGTGATATGCCCAACCATGTACCACTGATGACGTGCTATCCTTTCAATGGCCTTTGCAAACATTATTGAGGAGATCCTTTGCTGTATTTCCTGTGCCAAAAGTTGTTCTGGCCCACCACAACTTTGAACCAATTGCTCCTCGACAACACTAGTAAGATGTTTGGGCTGCAGTATTTTTGGTAATTTGTTTAGCAGATCTTCAAAATTATGGCTCCGAATTCCACATTCATTCAGGTCAATCAAAAATTCTTCATGCTGGCATAAGGTGTGGGTTCTGTCTGTGAGCCTTGGGGAGTTGATATACACCAGCCTTTGGCTCGGTAGCAGCAAACCTGACTTACTTGGCAAATAGAGGCTATGCAATGAATTCACTTGATAAGGATAAATGGCCATGGTGTTAAATAATTCCCTGACAGCTTTATATGCTTTCTGCATGAAGTTTGGATTCATGGTCATGTCTATGCCCTTATACAGTTCATGAAGGTCATCCAAGACAGCTGCATACTGTCCAACAGAGGGGTTCTTTGTGCAGCCAAGACGGGTAAATAGTGTGAAGAATTCTCCAAATTCTGAAGGTGCTTTGTACAAATGTGGCGGCACTGCCTTGTCTTCATACATATTCAGCACAACCCTATTCGGCTTGGCAAATCGTTTATGGTCATCCACCAAGATAACTGACTTATTTCCTAGAGCCCTATTGGTGTCATCATTTTGTAACCCATTCTCCTTCAAATACATGTAGATCAATTTCATCACTTTTGAAACAACACTACGTTCACAGGAAGGTATCATTCTACTGCTAGGACCCTTCTGGCTGGCATGGAACTTATCAGACAATGCAGAGATGTGACACAGAACCATAGACAAGGTAGGTTTCTGCAGTATGCCTAGTTCTGTTGCCAATGCATGAGAATTGTAACCTTTGCAGTTAACACTGTAGTTCCATGGATTAGCCCAATCAGGAAGGAGATTAGCACTTGTCCATACTAAGGCCTCATGTTCACATGGTACTGAAGATCTCAATGGGATAAAACTGTTGCCATATTGCTTCATCAGGTTAACATAACATGGACTGGCAGGCTGTGCACATACAAATGGTATATCTCGGACAGAACATAGGATTGATTTAAAATCCTCAGCTGGCCACCTTTCTTTGTTTGACATCAAATTCCTCACTAACATCTTGGACTTGTCAGCATTTTTGGTCTTGGCCACCTCTTTCACGTATGCTACAAACATCTCCTTGCTTACAGAACTCACCATGCCAATCATTCTAAGAAAAGGAATCCACTGCCAGGTGACAAATGGTGAGACACAACTTGGTGGAAAATTGCACTGCATAGATTGAAATATCTCATTGGAGGGATCGTAGAAATGACTTGCAGTTTGTTGGTGCTTTTCCCTACTATCAAATAAAAATGGTAATTCTGTCAAATCTTCTAACAAAGCATCCCTCATTTCCTTCTTTTCGCCAGTTGCATTATTGTCTGAAAGGTATGATTGGTATAAAAATTTCAAATGATGTGCTTGGCCTGTTTTGGAGAGATAATCAAAATGCTTGAATATGAATTCACAATACACCTCAACAACTGTGAGTTTCTTGAAGTTCAGAAAATCGTAGAGTGGTTCCAAGTCTTCATCATGCTGCAAGAAAATAAGCCCTTTTGAAGCCTGCCAAGCCTCCATTTCAATGGGAGGGATGCCACGAGGTAGTGTGTACACATGGTTCATTCCTATCTTCAAAAGTTTGCCATGCACAGTTCTGAAAACTGGTAACTGAAGAAGTTTTTCCTTACAGCCCCCAAAATTCTTTAATGCTGAGATCCGTTTGGAGAAAAACTTGAGAATCTGTTTTGAGATGTCCAATTTCGGAGGTTGTGACTCTTGTAATTTCTCACTAAGTACTTTTAAAACTGTGTCAGCCTTGAACACACTCCCTGTGGTATTTTGCAGAACAGCACAAGCACCTGGCATGAGAACTGCCACATTGAGGGATTTTAATATTTCCATCATTTCCTTTTCATCATTGTTCATGTTCCTACTGTTTTTCCCAAAATTCATCACAGCATATGCCTTATTGATACAAACTAAAACCTTTCTGGCACCAACTGTAGCTGGGATGAGAGCACAGTCATTAAGAGGTCTTAAATGTGATGGTCCTGTATACTCCTCACTTAGGAATGTCCAAACCTCAGCAACCCATTGCTCATTAGGAAAATCTCTGTTTAAGGGACAGGCAAATTTATCATCAGGGAAAAGACATCCATACCTGCCCCCTGTGGCCCTTTGCTGTGCCAACAGCTCTGCAAAATCTGAGACAGTGAGATGATGAAGTTGGTCACAATACTTCACTCCTAGTTTTTTCTCCTCAAAGAACTTTCTTAAGACCCTGTGAATGAAAGAACAACAACATTCTGGGACAAGATGATCATACTTGGTAAAGAAACACCTACTTTTTGAGGTGAACTGCCTTAGAAAACCATCTTTGGTCACAAGGAGAGGAAGACCATTCAACTTTCCTGGAAAATTGTTACAACTGTAAAGGTACTCCAGTAAGGTAAGCAACTGTCTTGTATCTTCAAAGATGGTTTTTCCAAGCGGCATGGGTAGTTCAACTCCTACTGAACAGTTTGGGGAGGTTCCAAAAGTTTTGAAGAACTCCAAGACACTCTCTGGTGAAACACAAGGAATGTAGAAGCCCACATCAGAAAAACTTTTTTTCAGTCTGCTGTCTTTTATATGAACAAGGTTGAACCCTGATCTTAAAAGAATTTTTTCAACAACATCAGGTTCCTTAACTTCTCTCCACCAGAAACCAAAAGTTTCAGCTTCCTCCCTCTGTGTCATATGTAATGTATTGAAAAATGCTCTCTCCCCATTCACGATTCCACTTGGGGGAAACCAAAGAACCTGAAACTGGTTTTCCTGTCTGTCTGTGTGCTCTTTTTTCATCCTAGGGCAGGGTTTGAGAACAGGCAGAAGAGGCACTTGCTGGTCCACAACAGCTTTGAAAAAACTGGTGGATAAGGGTTTCCACATGGATCCTTTGGAAAGATCAGCTGGGAAGAGTGTACTGTATGTAGATAGGCATCTGTCCATGGAATACCATGAGCTTTTAGAAAAGCTGGATTGTGGCAAATATGCACTTCTCATGTGTTTCAGAAGCTCCACATAGCATGGAGTCAAAACATGCTCCTGTAAATATTTGTTCCATCTACCTGAAGCCTTGTCATCATTTGAGATTGTCCTACGATCTTCATATCCCAGCTCAAAATGGCCATTAAGCATCACTTTGAGTTCAGTTTCAACAGGCAATGGCAAAAGACAGGCAGCAACATAACTGTAGTTATGCTGCCGTAGATAGTCAGTAGGCTTTTTGATACTTTGGGTAACATGGACAGGTTGTCTCTCAGTATATTGTGGAAACCGTCTGCCTATCTCACCCTTCAGTTGAGCTTTATCTGTCCAATACACCTTTGTATCTTTCAATGCAGCAACAGCTCCAAGGGGTAGAAGGTCAAACTTTTTGTTAACATCTCCAGGTGGTTCATCTAAATCTTCCATCTGCCATCCATGTAAGGTACTGCTCTCCTTGTCATGTCTCCCCTGCCCTGAGGAGTCTAAGCTGCCTCCTAATTGCTGTACAACTGACCACGCAGAATCTACCAGGGGTTGGCCATCCAACAAAGTCTGTATTGTTAGATCGTAAGTGACCCTGTGGAGAGGCACGTCTAGAGCACCGTATTCTCTGTTTTTCAAATGGTTTGCCACTGTTTGGACATTTTCCTGAAATGAGTCATAGTCACTGAAGAAATTTTCGAGTAACTTCGCTTGTGGATGAAAATGTATTCTTAAGGACCTTATTCTTATGTATTCTTACTGTACTGCTGTGTATCTCAGATACATGTATTTTTCTGATATGCTTCAGAAAGAGAAGCATCTGTGGCATTTGAGCTTTGAATGTCTCCAGCAGATCCTTAACTTTTCTTATATCTAATGACTTCCAGGCAGGCAAGTCTTGGTCTGTACATGAAGCATCTTGTGGGGGATTTCTCAAGGGTAATCGGAATAGAGTTTTTCCTTGTAGGTCAAACTGCTCTTCCAACAAACAGCTTTTGACATCTGGGTAATCCTCAGCTAGTTCCTTCAGGTTAAAAAGCTGTCCTGGGGAGCCTGTTGTTGCTCCTGGAACATACTTCCGCAGAGGATCAAACACACAACATATATCCTCATATTTACCCTGGCGGTCCTGCAAGACTTCAAAAGAAGACCCACGGGTAACAATCCATGGTGTGTCAGTAATGTTGTAAACTGAGTTGAAACCAATCCCAAACTGCCCTGTCTTGTAGGGGTTTCTGGACTTGTTCTCCATTTCACAGTGGTCACTCCCTAAAGTGGCAATTGCTGTCAAATCTGAATCAGTAAATGGGGCATTGTTGAATATGCAAAGTGCTGGTCCTTGCATCTTTCCCCAGTTTTTTCCAGGCACGCATTCTGATTTGTGTGTGCGTTGATCAAGCACAAAATGCACCTCAGTTGCTCTAGCATCATCAGCATTTTGCAGAACCTCTTTAAACAGATCCTCTGGGCTGTAACCTTTAAGGATTCTTGTGATGCTTGTTTCTAACTGCACTTGCTGTCCAAAAGGGATACTGCTCGAGTACTCACTCAGTATTCCTTCATGTGGTTGCTTAATTCCTAAATATTCATAGCCATGTATCCTAATATCAGGGTGTAGAAATAAAACTTTTCTCTGAGGCAAATGGGGACTCCACATTGTCAGTTGATTTGCCTTTCGGAATTTTCCATGGATATCTGGTAAAACTATATCCCCTAATATCTGTAAGTCTTTTGACTCTTCTTTGAGTTGTTCAACAAGCATATTGGCAGCAGCCTCTGCTTTTTTAATGACTGAAGTAGTGTTTTCTTCACCAGTGACTTTTGTTTCTGACAATTTTCTTAGAGCAACGATGTAGTCAACAGCATCAAAATGACGACGGACTCCAAGACATTTGAAAAGCTGTTCAAACTGGGTTTTATATTGGTTTGGTAGTGCAAACAGATAAGGTTCACAAGAGTTCTTCAAAGAAAACACTACATCTCTGGGTTGGACAAAGTGATCATCTACCAACACAACTGGGAGTCCTTTGAAAGCACTACTGATGTCTTGCTGTTTTTGTTCTTGTTTGCACAGTTCTTGCAAGTATGAATAAACATTCCACATCAACCTCTGTGCACCTGACAACTTGTCGGGGTGTATTCCCTTCAACCAATAATTGATTGCAGCCATCATCTGCACTCGGATAGTTTCAATACCATGGTTTGTCACACAACCTATAAACTGGAAGGTCTCTTGAGGAATATGGCCACGTGTACATGCACTGCTTGTGATAAGCGTTTCATCAACTATGGGCATTGCTGATCCAACCAGATCAATATCCTTCAATAGTCCCATTTTCTGTGGAGCCTCATACAATATATCTTGGGTTGATTTTTTTTCTTTGAGGTCAAACAATGGCAAAGGATATTCTGAGGAAGTTTGCAAAATTGGCAAAAAAGGTACAGACTTCAATTCTTGAACTTCGCATTTTTCCCTATCATCAACATCAATATTCCCTGTTCTCTTCAATCCAATAAATTTTAAAATATTCAATATACGTGCAATCCTGGTGGTTCTCTCTGAAATCGACAGAGTTCGTTTGGCACAATGACATACTTCAGCCCAAGTGATGTCTTCCACTTTGTACCGCATTCCCAACTTTTGTAAATGGTAGGTCTGTTCTTTGTATTGTTGAAAAGGAAACACTTCATCCTCTTCAGTGTACAGTATGCTTTGTGAGCCCTCTTGGCAGACCAATTTCCCAGGTAATTCAAGCACATTTCCTGATGGCATGACAGGAATGCACTTTTGGGTTCTTACAAGGCTTGCCATTTCCTCATCATTGGTTACAGATGGCAGGACATCCTTGAGCATCAAAGTATCTCTCCATTCTGCAAAAGCTTGCATCTCCGCTATGTTAGCAAAGAAAACTTCCTTGTAGAACCGATGTCTGCTGTATTCATTGCTGAAATCTAGACCATGTGATCTAAACTCTTCAACAATTTTCATTGGTAACTGAACTGCAATTTTGTTTCCAGGCTGTTTCTTCACCCACCAACTGAGTATATTGTAGGCAACTTGCCCTATGCCAACCTTGTCTTGAAATGATGGATCCAGATATACTATTTCATGGAAATTTCCCCAACAATGACCATCTGTAAGAAGTTTTGGTCCATTGAGTTCCATCAGCTTCCTGTGAAAAGTCTGTACAAAATGAATGCAAAAATATTTTGGGATTTTTTCAACTTCCACTGGCCAAAGGATATGGAAATCCCTACCAATGCTGCAATTTTCCTTGCACTTTTCCAAAAAGAAGATATAGGCTTTAGGCAAAGTTTCACGAAGTAATGCTTCATTCCATTCTGCCATTACATTCTGCCTGTCATCTGCTGATCTCTGCACCAAGTGGTTTCTACAGGATGTTGTGAGGAATGTGCCACTGACATGCACTGGAAGGTTTGTAGAAATAGGCAACGGGAGCTGACAGAACAGTGCACCTTTATTAAGATCCAATGGCAGGGGTTCTAGCTTATTTCCATGTGACTGCACTGGTAAAGCTATTGATGCAACAGGCAGTGTGCCTTGGATTTTTCCTTCAACTGCCAGGTTGAAGGCCTCCCCTGTGCTCATATAGGATGTTAAAAAGTACTCTCTGGTTTCATCCTTTGGAACCATCTTAAGAAGCTTTCCACCAGGGGGCAGAGTTCTGCATGTAATGTGAAAACGGCACGTGCATTTGAGTTCTGTGTGGTCTTTTTTCTGTACAGCATTACTTGCAGCGTGCAATATTCTAGTTGCCTGGATCAATTGCCGTTTCTCTTTATCCAGCTTTTTTGCTGGCTTCGGGAGTGTTGTCTTATAATTGACAACTGGTTTTATACACCTCTTCGGTATGTGTTTCTCAATAATAAAGATCTCAACAGCATCACTTGGATCTTTTGCGTTTGTGGGAAGATACCACAAAGAGAACTTGACCACATTCTGAATGAAGAGCAAAAGTGATTCTGATCTTTCTATAGTCAACCTAAAAAGATCTAACACATTCTTTTTTATGTATGGTTTTCCTGGTTTAAGTTCTGTTTTTTGTGACTGCTTCTTTGTTCTCAGTGGAAGTCGAAACAGAGTTCCATTGAATCTGTTGTTTATCTGGCAGTGAAAGATGTTCTCAAATGGAGCAAGTTGATCTGCTATCATCTCTCTATTGCGTGTCTTATCCAAGTCAATTTTCACACCTGGCTTGCTTTTGTCCTTAATGGCTCTACCCAAATGATGTGCATTTGGGTCAAAGATGACAAAATTATTCTGACTGATGAAACTGGGGGTGTCTGTAATGTTATAAACAATATTGAACCCTTTTCCGAATCTACCAATGGTTGCTGCATCTTCTTTCTTCATTCCACCACCAACTTTAATAATACGCTTAAAATCAACAGGCTCAAATACAGCATCATTGTAGACCCACAGTGCCTGTCCCTGACATTCTGCCATCCCCTCATCAATGAGACTTTTGCGGTAATTTTTGTTTTGTCGTGCATCATACAAAAATCGAACCTCTGTAGCTCCAGCATCATCAGCATTCTGAATCATCTCCTTTATAAAAGCAAAACCATCTTGGTAGCCCTCTAGAATATTGCTGATAATGCTGCACAATGACTGGCCCTGACCAAACTCCTCAAATGGCAGATCCTCTGGCTTCAACAGATATCTCAATAAGGGAGGTACCCTCAAGTTATATGCTGTTGCAATTGGAATATCTCTGTGCAAAACATGGACATTTTCTTTTTTTAACTGAATTGTTACATCTTTGTCCATATGCTCTGCATCAAGGAAGACACATTTATTGCTAAACTCAAATCTAAGTTGTCCTCTAGATCTGAGTGGCATTGGGACACATACTTCATCAGGATTAATGTCCCCATCTTTTGCAAATTTTGAAAGTTGGTTCAGAATTTCAACTGAAAGTTTGAGGTCTGAACTTTTACTGTTGGACAAGATGCCAAGTGGAAATTGCTGGAAACCATCATATTTTTGTTTCATCTGCATGAGAACATCAAGGTATGGCTCAAAAGATGTTAAACTTTTGAATTTTAAGTGATCTTTTGCAAAGAAATCTGGTACTGTGTACATATACGGCCTGAGGTCTAAAGCAGAGTCTGAACAAAGCACCTGATCTTGAGAAGCAAACCCATTGCCATGCCAAATCCACTGGCTGAGAGCCTGCTTATCAACCTCTGCTAAGGCAGCTTCTGCATGCTGTTCCAAAAAGTGGTAAATCTCCTTTACCATCAATTCAAACAATGTTTTTTCTTCTTCATTGTAATTCTGCTGAAGAACAGCAAGCTGCTGAACTACAGACCTGACATCTGGTAGGGAGTCCATATTGAAATGTTCAACAATTGAGGCTTCAGCTTCTTCTTCCCCTGGTATTCCTTCCCAAAGTGGCTGCACAGAACCTATCAAGTATGTTGATACCTTGTTCATCTTCTTTAGAGAGCTTGGCTTTTGGAACAAACAAGTATCCCTCCACCAAGGTAGCCTTCTAGGATATGGTATATTTTGGGGTGGCTCACAACACATGGGCAACCAGTGAAGGTCCAACAAAAGGCCTTTGAGATGGCACCTATGGTTAGGAATAGATGAGGGAAACTGTTGAAGCAGTTCTGGTCGCTTCCCAAGGAAAGAGGCAATGGCCTGGGACTTTCTTTTCAACACTTCACAACTAGTTGGGTCTGCTGTTGTAGCTGCCCTGGTCTCAACATCTTTGACAGCCGTCAAAATATCATCTGCTGTCACATCATCTTCATTTTTCATGCCAACTTTTACCAGTTGTGGAATGATGGTGCCCTCAGTAAAAGGATTAAGTGGAAAGACATCCTGATCTTTAAATAACTCTTGGAGAGTTCTACTTTGTGGGTTGCAAATTTTACTAGGCAGAGCAAAACCATTTTTGATTGGAATGCAATGGAGATGTTGAACCTGCTCCGCTATTTCCTTTTCATTGATTAGCTCATAATGCTGTAGCATGAACAATGAAATATCTTTCATGTACCTTTCTGCAAAAACGCCACCCTTTTTGAGCTCTGGTAGGATATGTGTGGAGAATATGGACACTTGTGTGTGGATGACACACTGGCCAAGGACCTTCACAAGATGTTCACACTCAGGCAAAGTAACATCTATAATGGCCCAAGGTAACGACACCTGGGGAAGATATTTCAATTTCACTGCATCCTTAGCATCATCCAGTGCCAGCAGTTTTTCGTCCATCTTTGCTTTTTCATCAAATTCAGCTGAGTTACACTGAGAACCAATTTCAATTATTGGGAAGATTTCAAACTTCCTCATTACATCCTTGTGGCATCCTATGTCACCAGATTGTGATATGAATTTTCTGAAGGCTTTTCTAACAGAAGCATCAAGTTTGTTGAAGGCAGTTATAACTTCATTTCCTTTGTATTGGTACTGCCTTGACAAGGACTGTAATACACCATCTGGTGAGGGGAGAGCTACCCGATTATCAAATATTGCTTGGTGGTTTCCAGCCTTATCAAGCACTGAAACTGCAAGAAACACATCAAGGGTTTGCAGAAGCTTCTTTATATTTAGACATATGCTTTTACCTTGGTGCTGTACAAGCTGAATGCTAATTGAAGATGATCTTGCTGGCAGATGTAACTGAACATCCCTTCCATCATTAAGATGAACTGGAAGAATTGGCAAACCTTCAAACCTCTGCAAATCTTGGAAATTCTGGCACAGGTAGCCCCACACTTTATCAAGCCAGGCTCTGTTTTGTGGATCTAGGCCTGTGTTGTTTTTCAACTTTTTTGCTTGGACTGCTTCAGGTAAAAGTTGACTGAACCCCTCTTCATCAAGCATACACAGTTGAGTTTCACTCCTGCCTAAATTTAATATAAAACAAACCTATATTTAAACTAGGATCCAGAAACACTACAGTAATGTCTCATGAATTATGAACAGCTCTAATAAACCTCAAATGATCTTAAAATCAGTTGTATGGAGTTTTTTGGGTGCATGAATTTCAACCAGTAAACCAATTTGCAAGAGAGTGAATTTCTTACATCTTAAAAATCATCAGGCTGTTTTCAGGCTCATTAAAATTGAACAGTTGGCATTGTCCCCCTTTACCTGAGTACTCTGTGTGAGGCTCAAGATGCAAGATAACAACTGATACAGTTAGCTCAAGACACAAAACAGCATGGTCATCATTATTACAGGGGTAAGTAAGATAGCGGGAGAATCACTTGGGAGCTGCACATTTCTGGAGTTTCTGAGAACCTCCTTTTACATGAACAACAACTAAAACAATTATTCCTTATTTTTATAATCAATTTCTTCTCTATAATTTATTCACGGCACATTATCCAATACTAAGGTTGAGACCCACCAAACAATAAGATGAGTGTCATGGCAAGTGCTAACTGATTTACGAACAGTAAATTGTGAAAGACTGCTGTTGCACAATTTTCAAATGTAGCTGAAGTAATTTTGTATGCAAGGGATAACAAGCTATGTAAATCACTCTTTTCAAGTTTGCAACATAATGGTGAATGATTTGCTTATCAAACATGAAGCACAAGTAGATTTTCTTACACTCCTGCAGACATGCTGAAAACTGAGGGCAATGCAGGCCAATTGGCCTATTAGATCTGAATATTGCAGGCCCGGACAAGATATTGCCGGCCCAAATGTTTTTCGCATTAAATTGTATATTTACCCTATTTCGCGTAAAAACTGTGCACTTTTAACTTCTGCTTTATACACTTTAAAAGGACAGTTGAGTAGCAGTTAGGTGATTAAAAAAAAAAAAAAAAAAAACTGCATCTTTGAATAGATCTTTTATTGAAGAGACATTTTACTGCTTAGATAACATCTGGGTAATATATGACTTAAAGGTAAACTAAGGGCCAAAAAGGCATCAAAACTCTCAGAAAACAAATTTTCCATAGGTAAACTGCAATTTTCCTAGACTAACCTTAAACCAGGCCTTACCCGAGCTAAATCATCCGTCTAAACTACCCAAGAGCACTTTTCCAAGTTTTGAGTTTCTTACAGCAGTTTTAGACAAAATGTCAAATTATCCCAACCTACACATGACTTTAACTTGCATTATATAGAGCTTGACAGTAAATTGTATTACTCTGAAGTATCGAATAAAAGTACTGATGGAATAAAAGTACTGGGTGGAAAAAATCTTAATATTTAACTAGAGGATCAGAGAGGCGATACCGCCTCCGAATATTGTACCACCAGCTGGAGTAAGCGCATTCGTATAGACCCCCACATACACAAAATAAGGGACACAGCCACCAGTCTTGTGCTTGACAAGCTGTAAAAATGCAATCAACAAGAATTTTCAAAATATGCAAAAAATATATATAACTAAAAATGGTACAATCAAAGTTTAGTTCATCGCAAGGTAGGTCAAAGGTCAATTTCAAGGTCACAGTAAATTGCCAGTATATGACTTCCTATTCAACTTTAATAGTAACTATGGACCTATCTCTGCCAGGTTTGGAGTTAAAAGAGAAAGAAATCAGCAGAGTTCAGTTCATGATAATAAGTAGGTCAAAGGTCAATTTCAAGGTCACATTTAGATTGCCAGTATGACTTCCCATTCAAGTTCAATAGTAACTATGGACCTATCTCTGCCAGTTTTGGAGATAAAAGGGAAACAAAATTTGCAAAGTTCAATTCATGATGAAAGTAGGTCAAAGGTCAACTTCAAGGTCACAGTAAGA